TTTTTGGGTGGTTGCGCGGATTAAAACTGAAAATGAGCCGGGTTGGAAATGAAACGGATACTCGGAAAAGCCGGTTTTGGATGGAAAATTGGCGCGCAGAAGGAGATGATTAATATATACGCCCTATCCTTTACAATCGCGATCTCGGATTTACGTATCGGAAATTTGCCAAACCCAGCCCAGAATAACACCATCATCTTTACCACATTGTCTGCATGGTGACAATATTACCTAAGAAATGCAAACTATGTAATTATCTTAATCAGCGTAATTGCATGGCATTATCTAGTAACGAATTATTATGATAAAATTGTCTATTTTAACAATTTTCGTATGAGCGGCGGATATATACGCCCTATCCTTTACAATCGCGATCTCGGATTTACGTATCGGAAAATTGCCAAACCCAGCCCAGAATAACACAATCAACTTTACCACATTGTCTGCATGGAGACAATATTACCTAAGACATGCAGACTTTGTAAACACTGTAATTATCTTAATCAGCGTAATTGGATGGTATTATATAGTAACGCATTAATATGATAAAATTGTCTATTTTAACAATTTTTGTATGAGCGGCGGATATATACGCCCTATCCTTTACAATCGCTATCTCGGATTTACATATCGAAAATTTGCCAAACTCAGCCCAGAATAGCACCATCATCTTTACCACATTGTCTGCATGGTGTCAATATTACCTAAGACATGCAGACTTTGTAAACACTGTAATTATCTTAATCAGCGTAATTGGATGGTATTATCTAGTAACGAATTAATATGATAAAATTGTTTATTTTAACAATTTTCGTATGAGCGGCGGATATATACGCCCTATCCTTTATACAGGAGACTTTGATTATGCAGGGACAAAGACACTGAGGTGGTGAAGCGAATGGAATGACATTCTAACGATTAAAGTAACGCATTAAGAATTTTAATATTTCAAAGGAATCGATTTTTCGCATATTTTTTTATGCGGTTCACTTATATAATCATCCTCATCATCATAATTATCGTCATCTTGGTCGGATGGTGCATGTAAACACGGTCCTGGACCAGTGTCATTAATCAGCGGCTCTTATTCATCCTGCAAAGTGATGGCGGCGTCGCTCCTTTTCATCCCCGCAATTTTCCATCCACAAGTATATTTTTTTCTCTCCTCCATCCTTTCCAATCCCTCAACACAACACGTCTACAGAAAATAAAACATTTTCATACATTTTATCTTCCACCCGAAAAGAACAAGATGAAACAAGAAAAAATCGGGATGATTAATTTTAATTGCAAATAATTAAAGCCTCTTCGGTTTTGCTTGCGTTTTTTTCGTCTAGACGCGTTGAAAAATTCCATTCTTGCTCATTATTATATTTTCACGTACAATTAATATTTCAGTGAAGAAAAAAAAGGTATTCAGGAATATTTTGTGAAACAATTGATTTATGTAACAATGCATTAAATATTCTTGCTGCATAAATTGAATGGGTGATATCTTTTAGGATTTTTTTCTTTCTTTTTCTTTTATGAAATATCTGCTGATTCGGTTACGAAGTTTAATTAGAATTTGCAATGGTTACAGTATTTGTAGTCGATCGAAGCGAGCGGAAACAAAAGGTGTAACATCGTCATGGAGAAACCGTTTACGAAGTTGCCAACTGGATTTTAGTGTGCATTTAATTTATTCCATTATTATATGGTATCCAGCTGGAATTCCTTTATACCGCGATTAGAATGCATAAGAGAGAGAGAGAGATGGTGTCCATTTCAAACGGCAATTAATGTGTAATGCAGTTGCATTTCGATAAACGCGACTGTTAAATGTAATAACCGTTGGATACGGTTCGGATTATACTATTAACTTTTCTCCGTTAAACTTGTCTAGTCTATTCCCAATGACTGTATTAGTATTCATATTGTCTATTTATAAACTTGTAACCAGAGAGTCGAACCGAAATTAATTTCGTTCCGGTTTACAGCTATGATCCAAGTAAATGGTTATCGATCCTCATACCTCAAACTATAATCATTCACTCAACAATTATTGGTATGCATACCTCGCTGTATTCCATTTAACAAAACAAATCACAATTACATAACCGATCCGAGGTTCATCCATTTTTTCCATCTGTTTAGAGTCGCCAGAATCCCGGCTCAAAATGTTTATGTTTCAACTTAGGAGATAGGTCGAGGCTTTCCAGGAACGAGGTGGGAATTGTTTCCCCTTCGATTTACTGGTTTTGCAGAGGTTTCGACCTGACAATCACCACTTTATTGTAGATAGTAAATAATAATTATTGTAGATAATAAATGATCCTACCGATATGTGACTGGCAAACGGGTCGACAGGACCCAGATGTGAAGGGGTTTCCAGAATGAGACTTATTACTGGAAGTAGAAGAAGAAATTTTTATCGTTCCAGATTCGGTTTTGGACACTACCATCAAAGAGCATACATGATAGAAAGAGATTATGAATTAATTGAATTATATAATACAAAAATGTGTTCATTTCAAAAATTGGCTGTGTGGGAGAAAGGGTTTTGACTTTGTGGAAAATACAACCGTTTCTTTATATAAATTTGGTATGATCCTACCAAAATATTTAGGGGATGAAGAAGGCTGTTAGGTGGTGTTATAATTGACCCAACTTTACGATTTCAAGTGTAATCTTCCTTTAGAATATTCCACAAGTTATTCTAAATAATCACTTACAAGTATTCGTTTGTATATTTGATGGATACTTGAAATATGATTTGTAATAATTTCAAGGAAAGTTGTAGACCTAACAAATATACATATTAATAGATGACAACAAAATGGTCGGCCACGACACTTGAATAAGCTTAAGAATAAAAAGAATCATAGATATGAAAAGCAAAATCATTAAAAATCGAGACCAAATTATACTTTCTTTTCTCCGGCCTGGAACGCATTATCGTAATTTATGTTAGTTTATATGGGAAAAAGTGTTTCTGTATATGAGTAAAAATCCGGAAATTCTGGAACGTTTAAATTCGTTAAGCGTAAGCATTTGATTTTAGAAATTGAAAAGAAGTTGTTTTTTTTTTGTTATTGTTTTTAATAAATTTCTTATTCTTAGTCAATTGGCAATAATATATCAATAATCTTAATTATATTATGATACATATAATAGAATACAATTTATAATTTTCATTAAATATATTTAATTTTATTGTAATTTTAACAAATTTTCATCGTGTGCTCCCAATTTCGCTGAGATCAATTAGCGGTCGTACACTAATTACGCTCCCAAAGTGATATAATTACTAACGGAGAAGCAAAAAAGTTTGCAATCAGATCTCTGTTTAATAATTTACATAATTATTTTTTTAGTTTAAACTAATTATTTGCCAAAAAAAAAAATAGTTTGATTTGTTTATAGAATGCATTTTATTGTTTGCAAATAGCTACTCTTTAACAAATTTACTTGTTAAGTTTGTAGAGACTCTCACAAACTCGTAACATTTGATACGGGCAAAACAAAACGAAAATAAATTTCATTAAAAAATAATTATATGTTTATTACTAAATACAATATAACAGAAAAAGAGAATACAGTATATAAAAATCATAAGAAAATATAAAAGTAAAAATCCGTTGTGAGTTCTTCTCCGGCGTATTTCATTTTGCATTCGTAGACAATGAATTTCAACACACATTTAACACATCACCTCTATGTACACTAATCAATCGTTCTCTCATTTGTGTCTTGTAGCTTAGTTCTTATTGAAACACCACTGCACTGGTAAAACCTTCTCCACGTTCTTAAGGTAATCCATCCTGAGGCATTCCATTGCACTCTTCCTCATAAGCGGCTTCAAAACTATGATGTTCTCTAGGAATTTTAGTTGTTCCTGACTATGACAGTCTACATGAGCGCCAACACCTTTAGCCTTCTTAAATAATTCGAATTCGCCTGCTTCGAAATTGATATGATTGTAGCATCCCAGCATGGGATCACCTTCGTCGGGATTTCCTAGCACCTTGCATATCTTGGTGATCTGTTCGATTTCTGAGTATCCTTTAAACATGACTTCGTAGTTTATAATCTCGGCCATCACGCATCCTGCACCCCACATATCTATTTTCGGTCCATACATGGACGAACCAAAGAGGACTTCCGGAGCTCTGTACCAGAGGGACATGACTCTCTGCGTGTAATTCTTCATCGGCATCGAATATTTACGACACAGACCAAAATCTGCCAACTTGAGATTGCCCTCATTATCTACTAGTATGTTCTCCGGTTTCACATCTCTATGCATTACTCGGTTGGTATGAACGAAGGCCAACGCTTCCATCAACTGCTTGGTGTAGCTCCTCACCAACATTTCTTCTGGTTTGCAGTTTACCCTAGCTAAGTACAATTTCAAATCTATTCCAAAGTATTCGAATACCAAGAAAAACGATTTGTTTCCGGCGCAGAGGACATCCTTAAGCTGTATGACGTTATGATGTCTGAGGTCTTTCAGAGCTTGATCTCTCTCATCGTCGTCACCCTTATACCACTATTGTTCTCTCCAAAACCTTTGATCTGCTTGATGGCAACGATCTCCCCGGTCACGTCGTTTTGCGCCTTATGCACTACACCGTAGGACCCCTCACCAAGGACCTCCAGCTTCTTCAACTTGTTCAACTTCGCCCTCGCGGCAAGAAAAGACTCCATGGTGAACATTGTAAAATCTAGGAGTAGTGACCAACAGTTACAACAAACTAAAGTCGAATGACGAAAACTATTGAAGTTCAGATGTACTTATCCTCTAAGTTGACCAACCAAAGGGCATGAATATCAACAAAAAAAATATGTTTTAAAGTTGGTAGTAAATTCTTCGAAAACATTATGAATCTGGTTTATGGCGAACGAACGTTGCAATTTTATTACCCCACCCTTATTTATTGCAATAGAAAATGCAGGTAGAAAGAATAATGGAAATGAAAAACAGCATCCGTGTAATAATTAAGATTTCTAAAATTGCCAAAGATTACATAATGACTCCGCTAATCTATATCTTCATAGTGAATATCACCCTGTATATCACTGTTGAAAGCAATTTCATTCATTAGAAAGAAAATAACTTATATTCAATAAAAAGTAAATATATAATAATCAAATTGAAACATATTGTGTATTTATTTCAGCGCAAAAATAGCGCTAAAATTGTGTTAACAAGGTTAAAGCGAATAAATTATAAGTTAAGTAACGAAACAAAAAATTACGTTGATTTTGTACAGTTTCTCTAGCATTGAATTATTTAATTAATAAATAATTTAAGAAAAAAGACTACTTTCTTTGCTGCATATTTATTTGTTTCTTTTCATATCATTCGGAAAAGTCGGAGGGCATATTTTTTTTGTTAAATCCAAAAATTTTGGAATGTTTCAACTCGTTAAGCGTAAGCACTTGTTTTTAGAAATTGAAAAGAAGTTGTTTTTTTTGTTATTGTTTTTAATAAATTTCTTGTTTTTAGTCAACTTAACAATCATAACAATATTATAATGATCTGTATATTATTACATATGCTGAAAAATAAATAGAATACAATTTATAATTTTCATTAAATATATTTAATTTTATTGTAATTTTTACAAATTTTCATCGTTTTCGTACACTAATTACGCTCCCAAAGTGATATAATTACCAAAGGAGAAGCAAAAAAGTTTGCAACCAGATTTCATCTCTATAGTTTTCTGGTTTATGGCGAACGAACGTTGCAATTTTATTACCTTACCCGTATTTATTGCAATTGAAAATGCAGGTAGAAAGAATAATGGAAATGAAAAACAGCATCCGTGTAATAATTAAGATTTTTAACATTGCCATAGCTTACATAATGATTCCGCTAATGTATATCTTCATAGTGAATATCACCCTGTATATCACTGTTGAAATTTCAATTTAATTCATTAGAAAGAAATTAACTTATATTCAATATAAATTAAATATATAATAATTAAATTGAAACATATTGTGTATTTATTTCAGCGCATAAAATTATGTTAACGCTTTGAAAGACGAATAAATTATAAGTTAAGTAATGAAACAAAAAATTACGTTGATTTTGTACAGTTTCTTTAGCATTGAATTATTTACTTAATAAATAATTTAAGAAAGACTACTTTCTTTGCTGCATATCTATTTATTTCTTTTCATATCTCTCCGAAAAGTCATTATTTTTTACTTTTAGGAGGACAAATTTTTTTGTTAAATCCAGAAATTTTGGAACGTTTCAACTCGTTAAGCGTGAGCACTTCTTTTTAGAAATTGAAAGGAAGTTGTTTTTTTGTTATTGTTTTTAATAAATTTCTTGTTTTTAGTCAAGTTAACAATCTTTACAATATTATAGTGATCTGTATATTATTACATATGCTGAAAAGTAAATAGTATAAGGGCGGATTGACCTAGGTCGTTAGCCTTTTGGTCAGCCTATTAATATTTTTTATTTTATTTTATGTTAGAATTAATTTATTTATAGAATGTACTTTTTTCTTTTGTATTGACGTCTGGCCAATACATTATTATTTAAATAATATACAATTTATAATTTTCATTAAATATATTTAATTTTATTGTATTTATTGTAATTTTTACAAATTTTCATCGTGTGCTTTTAATTTCGCTGAGATCAATTAGCGGTCGTACACTAATTACGCTCCCAAAGTGATATAATTACTAAAGGAGAAGCAAAAAAGTTTGCAACCAGATCTCATCTCTATAGTTTTGAAAAAGAGGTGTTTTTTTTAGTTTATACTAATTATTTGACAAAAAAAAATAGTTTTATTAGAACTTTTAATCTCCGATCAGAGAACTTCATTACAGAATTATTACATTTTATTGTTTTTAATAAATTTCTTGTTTTTTATTCAATTTAAAAATCTTAACAATATTATAATGATCTGTATATTATTACATAAGCTGAAAAATAAATAGAATAAAATTTATAATTTTCATTAAATATATTTAATTTTATTGTATTTATTGCAATTTTTACAAATTTTCATCGTGTGCTTTCAATTTCGCTGAGATCAATTAGCGGTCGTACACTAATTACGCTCCCAAAGTGATATTATTACTAAAGGAGAAGCAAAAAAGTTTACAACCAGATCTCATCTCTATAGTTTTGAAAAAGGGGTGTTTTTTTTAGTTTATACTAATTATTTGACAAAAAAAATAATTTTATTAGAACTTTTAATCTCCAATCAGAGAACATCAATACA